GACGCGACGCGAAGTTGGCGTGTTTTAATATGAAACATAAAGTATGCACGTAAACAAATGAAATATTGATTTTAACCTTTGTGAAATCGCTTAAAATTGTTGATAATTAGGAAAAGTAAAAGGAAAATAGTTCATTAATAATAATATTTATCTTATTTTGGATTTATAAACGTAACGCGACGCGACATTCTCTCAAGCGATCGCGCGACGATAGATACAGAACACATTAAACGATTATCCATACAACTAATCTTTAATTATTGTGTTATTAGTTTAGAATAAAGCCTATTAACCAATTTTTCTAGGTTATAACACTTATTTTTCACATAATCCTTCTGGTAGATCTAATCATCTTTATGTTTTTTTATTACGATTTGCGGTTTCGATTGTTCGATTCTACCTTTAATTTTCTCTTATAATAGGATTAATTATTATCTGATCTTTTTTTTTTTCTTTTCTTTGTAAGTCCATCTTCACAATATATCAATTAGAAGAATTGTTGCTTAGCCATTTAATACTCGTATCTAGAGTCATCTACGTAAAGAAACTACTTTTCAAATTAACAATTAGATATAGTTTTATTAAAGTAAGACTATAAACACACGAGCAATAATCGTTAAATCGGGGGATTTAGATTTTTAAGACGAATCTCTCTAACTACGGAATTTATGTCTTTTCTTTTTATCACTTCTTACGAAGATGAGTATCCATTCGGATTTTTTTCTTTCTTCCGTAATTTTCCTTCTGTTTTTTAAAAATTTTCATAAATTTCTGTGAAAAAAGTAACTAAATTTAATTATTTTTTATGTTTAGTTAACGAAAACCAGTTATCGAAGTGGCCCTCTAAATATCGATTTGTTGAGATTCTTGCTGAATTGCACACAAATGAATCCATGTTTGAGTGCAGTTTTTTTATATATTTTTTCTTTCTATTGAATTTATTCTTCAAAATATTGCTATCTAGATAGATTTAATAATGAAAAAGTATCATTTATTTTTTTATATATGGCTTCAATATATATTTTCGTCGTATTTTCAAGCATTAAACAGAGAAAATTTACTGTTTAACTGCTGTATTTTTAAGTTAAAAACAACACAAATTAAAGATTTTTCCGTGTTAAAATTACAAATTAGTGTTATAAAATAGTAATATTATTAATATTATATTTTTTTATATAAAAAGGAATAATTTAATAAAAATTCTGTTAAATTCAGCAGAAACTTTTACTTGATACCTACACAGATAATATTAAAAAATATATAGACTATTATTTATTATAGATTTAAATTAAATATTCGCATTATTGAATATCGTTTTAAGAAATTTCTAAATGGCGACACTTTCGAATTATAAAATAATAAAAATAAAATAAAAAATTATTTTATTGATAAGAGCAGATAAGTCACCAATTCTTAATCAAGAAAATGGATAGGTAAGGCATGTTCTTTTATAATTTTATATATAAATTTTTCTGTTACCTGTATTTAGTTTTAATATATTTTATAAAAATATAATTAATTTGTAGCTAGACGAAACTAAACAATTATAAAACGGATTAGGAAATAAGGTGTAGATGATGTGTTTATGAAAGTATCATCATGTAAATTTACACCGGTTTATCCTATCTGACACGTCACGACCGAAGCTAGGAGTAAGGATGATTTGCAGCTGTTATTCACCAACTTTATCGTATATCGTACATTTAATACGTTCTAATGGGTTACAGAATAGTAGAAATATTTTAGAATTATCGGTTAATTAACTTCTCTTTCCAGTTTTATAAGCCGATAGTTTAAAAATAGTTTTAAAAGTAAGGAAAAATGGGCGAGGTATATAGTTGCATACCTCTTTAAACTTAACAAATGTATATATTTATTGTTATTATTCATAAAATATGGCAGAGTCGACGATAAGATAAGGGGGTTATCTAATAGGTGTAGTTTCTCTGATAAGAAGCAGAGAACATAAATATGAGAAGTGACTTTGTTACACAACATTCTACTATGTCTTTGAAACGTTTAAGTATGAAATCTTCATCTGTGCATTATATGCAAAACTCTATAAATTCTTTAGCTTCTCCTGCATTTCCTAGGACTTCCTCCCTTCTACAGCAAGTACCCGAATATGGGATAGTCACCTTAGACATAGCTTCGAGTTTAGATAGACAACACACCTTTAGAAAGAATCAAGATTGGAATAAGTAAATATTATTATCTCTTCTCTGGCTTTTAAAATTATTTTTCTGATTAAATTTTAGTCAAATTTCGTAGCTTGTTGAAGAAAATTGTCAGTTTGTTTCAGCAGAAAGATGTCATGAACCCGGGTGAATTGTTTAGTCTCCATGAGAATATCAGGTAAACTGTTAACATGTATTTGTAATGAAATTTTAGATTTTTTTAAAAAAAAATATTATATTATTTTATTTTATAGAAATATTCTAGGATCAAAAACGGGACCATTTATCTTCGATTATTATAAGGTAAGTTGGTGACAAAAATATATTTGATGATGCTATTTTATTATATGTCAACCAAATAAGCAATTTTTATAAAGATGACATTTTTGTCATTTATTGTTTTATAAATAATCTCACTTTGAAGAACAAAATGACAAAATGGATGTGCAAGGATACAGAACATGTTAACAAAATTTGAATATGAAACAAGTGGTATGTATAAATTATATTCTTTGAATGGAAATGTTCCATTTTGTTGCAAACTACTGTTGATTTATTCAAAGATTGATTCAAAAACTGTTACATGTTGACATTCTTTTGAAATGTTTCTTTCCTGCTTTGAAAAAAATAATAATAAAAATCTTTCCTGTGCATGAAGTTTATTCATTTATTTTCTTTTAAAATTGATAAATAATATAAAATAACTATAATGATTATTATTACTATACGATACAAGAAAATAATCTGAAGCTACTATGTTAACTTTAATTTCCTTTTGGAATTATTCAGACAAATTTAAGTGCTTGTCTTGAACAGAATTGGAAGGAAATTCTATTTCTAATTAAAAAGATAAGCAGCAAAACTACTTTTATTTAATTACTTGCAAGGAAACCTAAACAATTAATTCAATTTGATTGATTTTCATTTATTTGGATTTTTTTGGTGCTCTTTTGTTGCAGTAATTTTATCGCATATAGAAGATTATAATGGAGATAAATATTCTTAATTGAAAAGTTTGGAAATTGGTCTGCTTTAATGTTTAAAACTCGCTAATTATGAGAAATAAATTGTAGGTTTTTTTACTAGCTAAATTTTGATTGTATCAAAGATAAACTTTTGAAGGGATATCAAATGAGAAATTTAAAAGTCATGAAGCAGGAAGTGTCTTAAAAGAAGTATGAATATTTATATTCAAGTATTTTGGAGATATTCAGAATTATTTAAAAGTCTCTAGTTCATATAAAAATCAATGAATAATATATTAAACTTATTTTTAAATCATTATTATTCTTTAAATGTTTTTAATATATGTTCAATCAGATTTATAATAACTTTAAAAATGATATATGAAGTACTCTTCTTATGAAATACTTCAAGCTTAATTTTATATAAAATTAAGGTTGGGAGGGTTAAATAGCATGTAAAAATTTTCTTATAATATTTTAATAAATGCATGCTCTAAATAATCTATATAAAACTATAACAAAATTCTTCAATTGCAAACATTTTCTTTTAATATTTTCTACATTTTAAAGTTAAATTATGCTATAACATTTGCTTATTTACATGAACAAGTGATGTAAGGTACCCTAAAAAGTAACCCTGAAAGGGATTTGAAAGAATGTGGTTAAAAATAGATTGAAGTTACTTTCTGATTTATATTTATTAGAAAGAAACAGGAACTTATTACTGGTTCTTTCTAGTAAAATGCAATTGTACTTTACTGTATATAAATTATTTATGAAGAAAAATTGCCTGAACTATTTATTTTCTGACTTAAATTAATAAATAGAATCGTTCTTTTATTCTATCGCTTAAAAGATTTAGTCAGTATTCAAGAAAATAAATAAAATATTCTCACAAAATTCTTGTGCTTTCATTATTATTATTATTATTTCAAAATGATTTTCTTTTAATTATTTTTAAAATTTAATTTAATTAATAAGGTGAACATTGAAGTATAAATTTTCATAAATGAGTTACAGAAAAAAAATAATAGAAAAAAAATTGTAGTATTGTTAAAAAAAGAATCAAATTAATTTTTAAGATTAAATAAAAATGATGAAATAAGAATAGAAAAGAAAAATTTGTAATGAAAGAGAGAGAGAGGGAGAAATATTAAATTCAATATTGATTTCGTTTTGTAGATTTTTTACAAATATGCTACCCAGCAAGGCCAATTGTTACACTCTAGAAGTAAGTTTTTATGGTTACAGAAGTAAACAAGATCCTTCTAAAGCTGTGACGGCTTACACGGAAGATAGCTGTATCCTACAGTATTATATTGAACAGAAAATAATTTTGTTTTTTTCTTTCTATTTTTTTTATCTTCTGATTCTTGCCTTAATATTAAAAACAGATATTAAATTAGGTGAAAATATTGCTTGGGCCCTATTGGATTATTACGTTGCAACTGGTTATATATCAAGTGGGTCTGTTCCTCCGGGCATCAAAGTAGGTAAGAGAGGTCTGGTGGTGGAAAGTTCTCGTAAAGTGCTTAACCGAAAATAACACTTCCACTTTTGTGCACAGATTTGAACATAAGCTACCGCCATTCTCACTAACAATCTACCATATGAGAGGTTATAAAATACAAGCAATAAATTTGACACCATAAACTTCTATAAAATTGTAATTGCAAATGTTATTTGTGTCTCAATTAAACTTTATTGACAATTTTGAGAATTTTTTTTTATTGCAAACTCTCCATGAAAACTCTTTGTTGGGAACATATTTCAGATTGTATAAAATTTATTTGAATCTTATTTTTTTGGAAATCGATTGTCAATTTAATATTTTTATATTAACTTATTATATAAGTAATTTTATTTTATATATTTGATGATGCTATTTTATTATATGTCAACCAAATAAGCAATTTTTATAAAGATGACATTTTTGTCATTTATTGTTTTATAAATAATCTCACTTTGAAGAACAAAATGACAAAATGGATGTGCAAGGATACAGAACATGTTAACAAAATTTGAATATGAAACAAGTGGTATGTATAAATTATATTCTTTGAATGGAAATGTTCCATTTTGTTGCAAACTACTGTTGATTTATTCAAAGATTGATTCAAAAACTGTTACATGTTGACATTCTTTTGAAATGTTTCTTTCCTGCTTTGAAAAAAATAATAATAAAAATCTTTCCTGTGCATGAAGTTTATTCATTTATTTTCTTTTAAAATTGATAAATAATATAAAATAACTATAATGATTATTATTACTATACGATACAAGAAAATAAATAATTTTCTTTTAAAAAAAATATCATTACCGAGTGAAAATTTAATTGAAGAATAATCAGATTTGTATTAATAATGTAATTAAAAAAGATGAAAACATGAACATTTTAAATTGTATAATAAAAAGTATGACAGAAGGTAAATAAAACACTTTTGTAAATCTTTACAAGAATCTAAACATTGTTTTCTTTATTTAAATGAAATTTTTTTAATGATATGTTATAAAAAGTAATTCAAAATGTTTTAGATTTTTGATATTTTCATTTAAAATAATAAAATAATTAATATATTAATTATTTGTCTTTGAAAAATTTTAAAATATTTGATTCTTGTAAAATTGAGAAATTAAATTTTCTGTACTTTTTTTATAAATATATGAAAGGAAGCAAATTCTAAATGCATAAATGAACAGAACCAAATGTTAAATTGCATTATTAATTATTGATAAAAATTAATATAATAGATTATTATCTACTTATATATAATTATTAATTCATGAAAATTTATAATTGTTATGTGTATGTTTATAATCATATTTAAGTTGATTGATTTATAAGAATATATATATAAGTAATCTAATTAAGCAACTTAACTAATTAATTATGATTTGTTATACTCAATAAAGAACAAATATAATACGAATTAACCTCAATAATAAATTTATAAATGTTTTATATTAATAAAAAAAAATTGTTTTGATAACTTAATATGCTGAATAATAATGCCTAAAAAGTTCAAGTTTTCTGCAATAACTTTCCATGTAATTATTGATACGAGATAAAATTTATCCATAAATTTTATAAATATTAATAATAAAGTTATTAATTATGAAATGAATATCAAGTTTATATTCAATGTTAAAATTTAATAATTATATTAGTAATTATAATACATTAGTTCAATTTGTCAAAGGATGGCTGTACATTAGTGTGCAATATAATGCAAAAGTATGTTAAGTAATTCAGAAGAGAATTTATGTTGGTATATACATGCATTATAATTGTATTTTGCACTTTAACATGTAATTTTTTTAGTAAAATTGCAAGATTTATTAAAAAAAATAATAATAATAATTTTCTTAAATGGCATTATTTTGATACTAATTAAAAATATGTTATAGAAATTATTAACTTTGCATTTATTAATCTTTAAATAAAATCAATTTCAATACATTTTTACATGAAATACTTATTTGTTTAAATATACTTCTAAATATTATAAATGCCATTAACATGATACAAATAATTTATTAAATAAATGCCTAAAATTTAAACCTTACCTTCATAATTATTACATTTGACAGAAATTATTAATTTAATGGTGTATCCCATCTTGAAAATAGATACGGTTCTCATCTCTCCAAAGTATTCCGGGAATAAAAGGCAATGCAATATCACGTGTCATTAACTTTGAGGAATCCGCAATACTCGTTCATCAATAGTTTTAGCTAGAAAAGTTAAAGTTCTAAGCAAAATAATAGAAAAGTTTATCAACATTTTCTGATGAAACTTGGTATTTGATATATATATAAAAAATTTTTTTTTAATTTTAACTGTTTTTATATTGATCTCCAAACTACCCAAGAGTCTTTAGTTATAAAATACTACTGACCAAAGAAACATATTTTTATAATTATAATATATATAAAATAAATTAC